ATTTGTTTTACAAAAAATGTAATTTGTGGAAGAATGGAATATTATTTTCTCTAAATATTTCAACTAATTAGTAAAAAATGAAATGAATAATTAAATTGTCATTTTTTTTTTCAAACGACAATAATATAATAACTAAAAATCTCAAAAGAGTACAATTAACACACTGGAACTAGAGGACTGGACCAATCCCTCTTGTCAACACGCACAAGGTGGTACAAACTCCATCAAGGAGACGAACAACACAAAACAAAACTCTAAGAAAGCGACACAAACTCGATATAGGAGAGAAAAACAGACATAGCTGCACTAAACGAAATAAAACAACAAAAAAAACCCAAAAACAACACACCTAAAAAATAAAAAATAGAGTAAAACCTCCCCTAAATCGAGCAACAGAAATCTAAAACCACTTGAAACGTCTACTAATTCACACCCCAGCAAAAAAAGTCAACTGAACAACAAAATTAAGCTCCAGACCCGAAAACTACATACAATCCACCGCCTAGACAAATTTCCGACTCGTGTCTGAGCCCCGAAGACCTTCATCAACGGGGAAAAGAAGGAGGAGAGCCCCGAAGACCCGAAAACTTATCGATTTTTGTCAAGTGAAGGGAAAGAAGAAAAATCTCATATAACAGTTGGGGCCAATTTGCAATAACGGCAAAAGAAAATATACAGAACAGAACCCTCACCTCAGCTTGAACCTCAAAAACCCTTTCAACCATTTTCAACTCAAATACCTCTTCGCACCTCATATTCATCTCCCCCAAAAATGGCCGACGAAGACAAAAGCGCGGGCTCAATCGGCCCATCCCGGCCCGAAGACGAAGCCCTCCGCCTCAAGACACTAGCCGAGGAGAATTTCACCTCCGGCGACCTCAAATCCGCCCTGAAGCACGCCAACCGCGCGCGCAGCCTCCACCCTTCGCTCGACGGCCTGCTGGAGATGATCACCGCCTTAGAAATCCTCCACGCCGCCGCCGAAGACGCCGACGAACAGATTTCCCCGCTGGATTACTACCGGATTCTGCAGGTGGAGCGATTCTCACACCCCAATGCAATAAAAAAGCAGTACAAAAAGTTGGCGCTGTCCCTGCACCCGGACAAAAATCCGTCCCCGGCGTCGGCGGAGGCCTTCAAGCTGGTCGGAGAGGCCTCGCGCGTGCTGTCGGACAAAATCCGGCGAAAGAGTACGACATGCGGCTTCGGATCTCAATGCAGTCGGAAGCCGCTGAAGAGGTGGGGCCGCCGAGGGCGGCGGAGGAGAAGTTCTGGACATCGTGCTCGGTCTGTGGGTTATTGCATCAGTTTGAGAGGAAGTACTTAGGGCAAAGTCTTGTGTGCCCCAGGTGCAGAAAGAGCTTCATGGCCATGGAGGTTGATAAGGAAGGTACGAATAGTGGGATAGATGTCGATAAGAGCCCAATTAGGGTTAGCGCCAGGATCAAGGAGCAATTTGCGAAAAATGGGAGTTTAGGGATTGTCGAGAAATGTGGGTTGCGGGTGAAGAGGAAATTCAGTAGTGTCAATGAGGTTTTAGAGAGGTCAGCAATGAATATTGAGAGGAAACACAGCGAGTCAGGTAAA